TTATTATTATATGCAATTAGATTATATCTTGCTTCTATTTTTCTTAAATTGTATTATCGCTCATCAAAATGTGTACGTCGAATATGACGTTTAAATGTACACAAGTGTCCGCAATGTAACAAGCTCGAGTCCGTGGGTTTGCTAATAATAGACCCAAATAACTGTCAAGATTAGTCATTCCCACGAAACGTCAAATTATATTATTGGCGAATTACATTATTCGGTCAGTTAGCTCCTGCACGTATCGTCTCCCTGATACTTTCTATTTCCCTAACATGTATAAATGACATCACGTGTCTCTGTGAAACATGTACGTTACTTACAAATGCACTTAGATATTACGCATACGTCATTTAACACTGTTGCGCATGCGCAAAAAAATCTCTCTGTCTATCCCACTGATCCGATGGCAACGACGACACGATGCGAAATACGTGCTGGCCACGGGCGACATAGGGTGGGAATACGTCACGGTGAGAATAGCGGACACGAGAGTCGTATCAGAGGTGTGCGACGCGCGGGAAACGAAAGGCTGGGAAGGGAAGGGATGACTCTCGTGCGACAATGTAGTGGTTGACCGGATGGAGGTGGCACGCAGCTTTGAACGAAACGTTGAGGTTTTACGATTGAATTCGTCCAACCGACAGAGACGATCTGCCGCGTAGATTACATTGCACTTATGCGACGCACACCGCGCACTGTCGGACGACTTCAATGACGAGAAACGTTATTTTTTTGCGATAACTCTGTTTTCAGATCAGAAGTGGAACGCTGATCATCAATATCATCGTTGATATTCGTGTCTCGAATGTATTGAAGCAAGCAAAAGCCGATTGAAATAATCTAGAGCGGAAATATTTTTGATAAAGAATTTAGAAGTTCTATGTTTGCAAGCATGTTCTGCGAAAAGCAATTCTTTTTAGAGAAAAATTGAAGGCAAAATATACACGTGCGTGTTGTAACATAATGATGAGAGATGTATGTGATGCGTGTACGGCAATTTAACACAATATTCATGTACATATTCGTGTAAAATAATTTATGTATTTGTATTAAAAAATTTGACAATTAAAATAAAAAATAGAACTCTTCTTTCCCATTCTAACTTGAGCACAGGAAAAAACTCGCGAATAGACACTTTTATTTTTTACATTTCATATACATTTTGTTTCAACAATATATTATTGACGTCCTCAATGATTATATTACAATAGTTATTTTAAGCAACTATTTTTATATAATAATAATTGTTTAAAATAATTTATGATAGATACGTCTCTCTATACACCGTGTCGAAAATATCAACAAAAAAACTTTGAAAGAATCGATATTAAATTTTTCTTAACTAAAAATTCTTGAAAAAAGTAAAGAAATCATAAAAATATTGATAATTATATATGATACATGGAACGCATAATATCATAAAATCATTTCTGTTGTTTCTGATATACTTGTATATATTTATTGTATTGGAGAAAGAGGTTTCAACCGACACCTATTGCTATATCAATTGATAAGAGTTTCTCAAAAATACCGCTCAAAAGAGCGTTAGATACAGAGATCTTATTTAAAAAGAGATCACATCAATAAAGACAAATACAAATTTAAATAAATTTCGTCTGCTATCTCGTTTTTTAAATCGCGCGTCGTTGAATCATTTATGATATTCAATAAGGTTGTATATATACACGAACTATTTCGATATATAAATCTAATTAATATATAAATTTTCAGTCGACATCGCTGCATTATTTTACAGTTTACGGCGATGTTTCTTAAAAATTATTAGCGTAATACCGTGTTTCAAAGTGTTGTATTGTATAATGGACAGCGACAGCATTATTGTTTCACGGCTACGAATGCATCATTTGTGATTGTCGATATGGCAGGCGAGCAACAATCGCTTGACGTCGCAACCTAACTTTGGGTCTATTGCGTGAGGTTATAGTATTGGCTTTATGTATGAATGAAATGCACAGACATGGAAGTGCTAAAGAATATAAAAGAAGACAACTGTATACCGATTACTGCTCCAAGTCCCATAAGAATTTGTTTTTTTTTCTTTAATAAATAATTCCATCATGGAGAAAAATGATTTTGCTATGAAAGCAAAAGGATTGCAAAATTTAATTGTCAAATTTGTTTGCTGTGTATAGCAAACAAATTTGTATATTTGACAAATATTTTGCATTTGTTATAAATAATTTTTATACAACGACTGCAATACAAAAAAGGAAGAAATATTTGTTTGTAAATGATTTGATTTAATCGATAAAGTACTCTAGAAATTGTCACACACACACACGTAGGTAAGTACTGAGTATTACAATGCAAATTGAATAACTAAGAACACGTGTATCATATGGAAATACGCAGAAAAAGAAATTCAAAGTGCGTGTGGTGCGACATGTTCGTGAGAATAATTCCCGATCGTAAAACGAAGTCGTGGA